AAAACCAAGCCCTCAGAATTATGAAACCAATGAATAAAATATTTCCAAGGCTTTTCTTGGATCATGTCTGTCCAGATTTTATTTTCCTGATCCCACCAAAAGAGGATAATAACTTGTTTAAGAGTCTCTTCCCTTGACTTTTGTGGTAGATCTCAACAATTCTCCTAAGAGTGGAAAGATGGATTAAAATATAACCACTAAATAAAGGCTTTGAGACTTTTAAAGTTAAATCGTGTGCTTCGAATTTTCCTAGAAACCACAAAAGAACAGTCACTAAGGTGGTCTTAAGAGATTTAAAGACATGAATATGAATGATAGGAAGTCTCAGCTACTACTTAGATTGTGATTAAGACATCAAGGGATTATACAATTTCTATGATATTTTTTCTTTAACTTTCTCATTTTAAAATCTTAGACTAAATTTGTTATACAATATGTTTGATTTTGTAACAAGATATAGGCATAAGAATATTGGCTTTGAATTAGTTTAATTTATAATTTATAATTTATAATAATTTAATTTATAAGTATAATTTATAATTTATAATTCTTCAAGGAATGTTAACCTCAAAGGATCTTTGTATGTTGGTCAGGGAATTAGTGAGAAAGCAGAGAATTGTAAGTGTAAAGCCAGTGGGTTCCACTGGTATGGAGCTGTTAGCATCTGAGAAATCTAAAGCTCCATCTCTGTTCTAACAACACAATCACTTGGAAAATGGAAAAGTTTAGTCAGTCTAAAAAAAAATCTATTTTAAAGAATCTGCTATGACAAACTAGTTTGACTTTTTAATCAAACTGGCTGGTCATACTAGTTAAAACACTTGAGATTCTTTATGCATTCATAAGTATAACCCGTTGAGGGTGTATTGTAGTCACTTCACTCGGTAAGCATTTCCAGAGTGCCTTCTGGGTCAAGCACTTTGACAGGTGCAAGGAAAACAGAGGACTGTGTAAGACCAGCTCCTGCCTCCTATTGACTTTCACTTACAGAAGCTAAAAATTCAAAGCAGACCAAGAACCAAGACAGTTAATAACAGGACAAGAAATGCTCAGATGGGTGCCACAAAAGCTAGAAGAAGAGCTTCTAGATTGAGTTGAGGATCCAGTCAGGGAAGTCTTTACTTGAGAAAGACCCAGAAAAGGACATTGGAGACATGGAATCATGGTTAGACAGGTATATGAGTAGAGCATGCAACAAGAAGTGGAGGAGAACAACCCAAAATGAACTCATCTGCTGCTTTTTCATATATGATTTTTATGTGCTATTTATCATTAGTTCTTAATTTTCATAAAAGTACATTGGTATTTAAATGGTTTTAAGACACCTTGTTAAATTCTTAATGCTTGTAGGGTACCCGAGAGTCTACAGAGTCCTTAGACAATGTAAAATACTTTATTGCACTTTTCAATGCTGACATATAAGTTCATTGTAGAAAATGGTCTCTTTTCAGCCACAAGAGGAATTCCAACCCACTTCTCTAAAAGAGCATTTCAGGATGAATACTCATATAAAACATTCTCTTAAACAGCTCCCACTGTTCATAATGTGATTTGATGCTCCATTGAAATTTCCACAGAAAGCTTCAAATACATCCTGGCTCAAATGTTTTCAGACCAAGGGCAGTTATTTTCTGATGAGTCAGGAGATCATGTTGATGGGTGAAGCTGGGGAAGTACTGTCATTGGGACAGATGGTTAACCATTTTATTGCTCTCAACACCAAGATCACGCCAATGTGTTCTGTAATTGCAAAATCCCTCTTGACTAGATGATTTGGTGAGGGGGTAATCCTGAGGAGTTAATCTTAACTAGTTTGTCTAGTTGAGCATTTCTGTCTTATGTAAACAGCAAAATTTATACAAACCTGTTTTTGAAGCATTTTGTCCATGTACTGTTAACAGATACCTCAAGACCACTGTCATCTTTTCCAGTCCTTTTTCTTTTCCTTCCTAACTCTCCTTGATGCCTTGTAGCTTAGCATAGTTTATTTAGATGTTCTTCTATCATAAACCTGGTTGGGGGAGTGTCAGAGATAAGTTTGAATTGGCCATCTGGGAATTTGTAAATCTCAAGGGATTGCTATCAAGTCCCCTGGTCCGTAGGGCAAGAATTTCTTCCTTCTAGCTCTGGTCTTTTCCTTGGTCAGCAGGAAATCAGTTGCTTTAAGACCAGCATCCCCCTGGTCAAGTTGCAGGCCATCTGCTTGGACATATGTTCACGCTTTGATCTTTAAACAATTAATTTATTCTCTAATGCCTGGATGACCAGGCCTGCCATGAGGTCCCATTGGACTCTCCCTGGATCTCTGGGAAACATGAAGACAGATTTTCCTGTGAGCTTCTCTCTTAGGGGACAGATATTTTAACAGCCTGACTAGAGAATTCCAATCTATTTGTGAACAGAACCTGATGGTGTTGATGTTTCTTCTACGGGGGTCTGCACTGTAGATTCATTCCTAGCTAGCCTCTTTTCTTAATGCTATCATGTGGAGTATTATTCTCGACCAGGTAGGAAATTGTCATTTCTGCTTTATTCTTTTCTTTATTATTATTATGGTAGAATATACATTAAAAAATTTACCATTTTCACCATTTTTGAATGCACAGTTCAGTGGCATTTAGTACATTCATGTTGTTGTGTAACCATCACTACCATCCATCTCCAGAACTTTTTCATCTTCTCAAACTGAAAATTTGTACCCAGTAAACAGTGACTGCCCATTCCCCCTCCCCCAACCCTTGGCAACCACCGTCCTATTTCCTGTCTCTATGAACTTGACTAATAGATATCTTATATAAGTGTAATCTTACAATATTTGTTCTCTTATATCTGGCTTATTTCACTTAGCATAATGTCTTCAAAGTTCATCCATGTTGTAGCATGTGTCAGAGTTTCCTTCCTTTTTAGGGCTGAATAATATTCCATTGCATGTATGTACTATATGTCACATTTTGTTTATGAACTCTTGGGTTGTTTCCACCTTCTGGCTGTAGGGTCCCTGCTTTCACTTGTTTGGGGGTATATAGCCATAAGTGGAATTGTTGGATCATATGGTAGTTTTATGTTTAATTCTTTGAGGAGTCCCCATACCGTTTTCCACTGGGGTTCTGCCTCATTCTTGATCCCTGTCATAGCTGCATGACTGTATTCATGACTGGAAAGGGTGAGATTAGGGATGAAATTGACCGAGGGACTTCTATTCTTTCAGGGATTTGTTTTGTTTTGTTTTGTTTAGAAGAACCTTAAAAAAAATGATAACTAGGGGAAAAAATTCTCTTTCACCTCATGTTAAGGAATTCCTGGAAGAATAAAAGTAGGTCCATCAATATTGAACCCTGAGAATTGGGAGAATTGAGATTTTTGTGCCTGGTGTGGCAAAGACTGCTGGGTAGCAGAATTAAACAAAGCACCCTGTCCTAACTCAGGGTAGGTTAAATGAGGAATAAAGAAACAATAGAGCCACAAGCTTTCCTACTATGGGCTCCTCAGGTACAGTGTATCCATATGGTGAGATCCAAGTTTGGCCCTCAGATGTAATAATGAGCCCAGATTCTGGGGCACGGTTCCCAGAAGCATGAGCCTAGTGAGTGAACTCACTGATACTTGTGTCCCAGGAGATACCACAGAGACTACCTCACCCAGCTCTCTAGCTAAGGCAATAGACTTCACCCTTGTAGGTTAGAGGTTGCTTCCTGCCTTGCACACAGAAGAACTCAGGGCCCAGAGAACAGTTCCTATTCTCTAGAACTTTCCAAATTGTTGACTTAACGTTAGCTCCTCTAATAGGACTTGCACAGTGAGATTCAAGAATACTGTCTACCCTCCAACTACGAATCAGTTAGCTTAGCTGTCATTCCATCTAAAACATAGGCTTGTTTCATATTTGCTTGCATGAGAGGACATCATTCCCACTCTAGGCTTGGCCACTTCGCTAGCTTCGTCCAAACAGCTTCACCCGGGGCTCGAACTCACTTCTGTTCAGTCCTTAGGAAAAACTTGTTTAGAGTAGCAGAATTAGAGAGGATTACCTAAGGGATATGTGGTCCTTCTGTTCTTCTTAGAAGCTCCCGACATTTATCTATCCCTGGATTAAGCCAGGTCATCAAAAAAAGGAATTCCTGGCTGACATCATCCTGACCCCTTATGGAACAGCTTTTACAATCTTCCATCAGGGCAGCGTCCTTTGAGTAAAGTTTACCCTCGGCCCTACAAAACTCCTCTTGGTACAGCTGATGTCTTCATACACCCACTGAACGTGGTACCTACTGTGTATGAAGCCCCATAAGAGAGATAGTTCCCAGGCCTTGTACCAGGAACTGTTATTCCCTTCTGAGCGGTTGGGTTTGTTGTGATCCTGGACACACATGAACCAACTCTCTGGTCATGGAATGAGGAAGCTGAGAGATGGGGCAGCAGGCTGCCTCTAGCATGGGTACAGAACTCAGGCGAGATTTTGTGTGTTAATCTCATGCCTGTCTTTACCTTATTTTGTAAGCTTCTGTTTTTCTTTCAGTCTCATTGCCTCACTTTGTAGGTTGTTGAATTATCTGAATTTTTGCAAGCTATTCAGATCCCTTAGGGAATAAAATGTAAACGTGAATCAGGTATTCTCAGTTGCTTTGGAAGACAAAATGTATATAAATTATTAGTTTTCAGAGAACTAGAATATGCTTGATAAAGTTGGCCTTAAAACAATTAATTACTCTTCTGAATTCATGACTAAATTATAAGTTCTGTGCTCTCAGGAGCCTTAGCTATAGTGTTCATTCTGTACTTGCCGTTGCCAGTGCTGTGCTTAGCACGTAGTAGATGCTCAGTAAACATCCCCTGCGAGATTTGACCAAACAGGATCTCTCTGCACTTAAAGGTTACCACCCTCAGGGTGTGTAGATCCTGAGAAGCAAAGAGAGGCTGTGGCATTCTGGTATTTCCTCCGCCCTTGTCGTTTATGGGAGGACACCGCTGGCACTTCTAACGTTCTCCTGTCTCCCTCTCTGCAGACTCACATTTCGAGACTCCCTCCTGGTGCGGTGGCGGGACAGTCCGTGGCAATCGAAGGCGGGGTTTGCCGCCTGGAGAGCCCAGTGAACTGACCCTTCAGGCTGAGCATGAAGCGTCTGAGAGGCATTTCAGAGCCTGAGCGTTTCGGGGATTTTAACTGAAGTTGGATGTTTTATCTTCGCCATTTTATAATTCCTCTTTGCAGCCTCGTGCACGGCTCGCGACACTAGTGCTGCTGCAGTTAGCGCTTAGTGACGTGCGGGTCTTCGGCAGGTGGGCAGGACTGAGTGCGCACGTGTGCGCGCGCGTGCAGTGCGTGTGCCTGCTTCTCCCTCGATGAAATACAAGCTCCTTATTGTGTAACCTACGACCAGGAATGATTAAATCATCTTTACAAAATGTGTGCTTTACTGTTTACAAGTAAAACCTAAAGTTAAAAAGGAAACATTTTTGATTTCATACAGAGGTACCAGCTGTCGTTGATGTGGTGTGTCTGAACTGAAGAGTAAATCTACTTGTTTAAATGATTTGACAGTGGTAGTGCTCCATTTAATAACAGTACTAAGTGATAAAGTGTTTTTATTTGTTAACCAGTTTAAGTGGATCCTGTGGTAACTTAAACTGTTATTCTCATCCCTCATATGGGGCATTTTTCTTTAACAAAGAATGGTTTCAGTGAAACAATCTAGCAGAGAATTAAGGTCAGAACCTTTTTAAATAATAGTCTTATTGATAAAGTTTGTACTTCTTTCCTCAAGCTTTTCTAAGCTTAAATACTGCATATCTTCGAGCTATATGTACTATATAATGAAAGAATATGTAAAGAGAACATACAGGAATGCACAGTCCTTAATTTGTGTATAATGGAATGTTATTTACAATGTAACACTGTAAATAAGAAAGCAAAATTTATGGGAAAATTCAATATTATCTTTGTTTCTTGTTTAAATATATTTTTAAGATAAAGGCACAAAAATAAAAGAAGCATATTACTGGGTATAGTGTGTGACTCCTCTTCTCAGACTAATAAATTATCTTTGGGATCCTAGATTGGAGAGCCATTTTTTATTTTGTTTGTAAAAAGTTACTTCTTCCAGAAATCATACCTTTATCTTTTTTTGCTATGATTCTGATAGTTCAAAAGCAGTCTTTGTGCAGTTAGGCTGGACACTTAACAAGATGAAAGTTGAACTTCGTTCATGATTGAATGATCAGTATCAAGATCCCTAAAATTTTTATTGCAGGTTGATAAAAAAAATAACAAAGGGAAGGGATAAGAACACTCTGCTTTGGAAAATTGTAGTGGCAGCTGAAAACCCAAGGGTTTCAGTTGATAAATTGCTTCTAAATGTTATATTTAGTGATTGTGGAGCCACATAAGGAAACCAAGACTTTTCTTTTGATTTTATGTGTAAGAAGTAGCTATCAAGAAGATACTAAAGATAGCCTTGCTCAGGGAGAGGAAGTTCTCTGCACCATATAATCATGGCTCTGGGCGGTAACTGATAAAGCCCCAGATGAAATTATACACTTGACATCGATGTATGGCCAAATTATAAAGGAAAGACAACCAAAATGGAGTGGGTGTAAATATGAATGATTTGGGAGTTGCTGATTTATATTCCTTGTACAGGCAATTACATTTGTTTCGCTGTGTTCCCGTAGACGGGTTGGTGCCGTGGTATCTGTTTCTCATTCTTAATGAGGCTGAGAACGTAGTAAGCGATGGGCTGGCTGGTGGGGAGCCTTTGGCTTCAAAAGCTTTCAAAGACCTGTTACCTGTTGGCAGGGTTTTTTGAGGAACTGGACTGGATCACATAAAACTATCAGGACACTTTGGAGTCTGAAAATCATCTGACCTACTTCACCAGGAATGCCATTTCTTTTCATCTTCTTTTGACTTTATTCTACTCATATTTAAAAGTTTGGGCTTGTTAAAAACCCCTTTTATGAAGAGTTTAAAAACTGGTCAGTATAAAAGAGCCCAGCCCCTCCAAAAACAGTTTGTTAAGACTTTATTCTCCAATTCCTATTTTTTTTTTTAATTTAAGGAATAGTGTCAAACCAGGAGGCAAAAAAAAAAAAAAAAAAAAAAAAAAGTGATACTCAGAATCATGAAGGCAAAAACGTAATGGGTGGTATAAGTTCCTTAGTGATCAGATCAGATATTAAAGAGCAGATCCTGGAACCAGAGAATAATCGACCTCATTTCACACAAAAGTAGAAAGGGTCAAAACAAACAGATAAGAAAGGAACCTCATTCCCTAGTCTGGCTTATATCACCAAGATGCTGAAGCAGTATTTTAACACGGATGATCTTTACTGTATGCCTATCTTCTGCTTCTTTTCAAGCCCTGATCATTGGATGCTTGGTTCTCTTGAGTATAAGTAAGCCTGGTCTGGATTCCTCAAGGCCATCCCTGTGATTCTGCTCTGGGTTTGGAAATGGGAGTTTTCTGGAAGTGGCGAGGAGATGGAGGGCATGTGCTCTACCTGCAGGCACCCACAGTGCCCATGCCCAGTGCTGAGGTCTGAAGGCCTTGTCTAGGCCCCCCCCTCACTTGGCAGCTCTGCCTCTTCTCACTGCCCTGTGTGTGTCTGATGAGGGCAGGCCCTTCCTCCCTTTTTCCCTGCTGCTTTGAACTGTGAAGTTGAAGTCTGAGAGCAGTGTCTGTTAGAATTGTGTACAAAGTACATGTAAGTAAGTCCTAAATGCTTGTCTGTGAGCAAAATGGATGACTTTTAGCTTGCGGCTGTGGGGACTTCTCTTTGGCTGCTCAAAAGTCTTTTTTGCCTAATTGCTCACTTTGTCCCATGTTTGAGAGTGGTGATGGTACATTGCAGTCACCTGCAAATAAGCAGGGTTGTAATTCTGTTTCGAAGCACAGGTAAGGGGGAGGGAGGAAAGGAGGGTGTGAAGAAGGGAACATTTAGAAACGTCCTGAAATTATTCTTGAATCTTGAGATTGTATTATTGTGGCATTAAAAAAAAATCCAGTCATTGTTATTATAAAAGCAATTCATGCTCATTACAAAACATCAGAAAATAGATAAGCAAAAAACAAACCAAAAAAAGATTAACTCATAACCCCACTTCCCTAGAGACAACAGTTAATAACACTTTTTCTTATATTCTTACAGACTTTTCATGCATGAATTTTCTAAGTTTTTAACACCGAAATGGGTTTACATAACCTGCTGTTTCACTTAAGAATGTCACAGAAGGATGTCCAGACTTACAAGAATTACCTCATTTATTATTGGTTCAGCTAGTGCTGTTCAGTACCTATATTCTATCCTAAGACTTCTGTAGAAACCCATCCCCAGTCCTAACGGTACAGTCAGCGTCTGCTTCCTCTGGCCACAGGTCCGCACAGTGAGCACCGTGGCAAGGTCTGATTTGCCAGTGAAAGCCAACTGAGCAAGGGTCTGGAGCAGACCACTGTCACTGCCCATCAATTCTCCAGTTTAGAGTGCCCCAGACAACAGTTGGAGGCTGGCATCTGCACCTCTACGCCTGAGGACTTGTTCTGGAACTACAGAAAGCTGCCCCTGCACACAGCAGGCTAGAAATGCCTGGGAATCAGCATGCCTCAATAGCAATTCTCAACCAGTGATGAACAGAATTTGTATAAATATACTCACTGCCTTGCTTCTTGGGTGGTATAAGTCTGGGGTACGTGTTTCACACTGTTTTTGAGATTTCCCACAGAAGTTAAGCTTCAGTTGCCCTCTGTGGTAGTTGACTTATGAATACACCTCATGTTGGCCTTCTTCCCTTCCCAGTACCCTTCTTTGTTCCCCTATTTGTGTGTCCTGGGGTCATCTCCCAGATGAACTACTTGCATTTGCCACCTTGTCCCAGGGTTGCTTCCTGGGGACTTGAAACTAAGAAACATTCCATTCTCCTTGGCCAGGAGGACCTGATGGGCCTTTATACCCTCTTCTGCTGAGAGGGTGGACTCACCAGTCTGCTTGGGCCCTGCACTGGAGTCTCTTCCTGCCTTGTGCTCCTGATGAACCGTCTTCATCCGTCATATCTGATTGAACATTCTCCAGGTGGTAAGGTTGGTTGTGCCACAGAAGTGGAAGGAAGTTCACAGCTTGGTCAGTAATGGCAGGCACCAGACAGCTGGAGACAGGCGCATACTTTTAAGGAGGTGGGGAAAAAACAAGCTGAAGAGCAGCAGTCCATCAAGGAGTGAGGAATTCCTCAAGGGAAAGAATCTGGAATCATGTTACTGGTACTCAGAAGAAACCATAGCCAAAGGTGTGTGATGACTTTTAAGAGATTTGAAAAGACCCAAACAGTGGTAGCCAGTGTCCCCCCACGTCATGAACACATCTCCATGATGACCACACTATAACAACCAATATGGCACCCACTTTCAGAATGTCATTTCTCAAGCCTGGATATCACCAATGTAATTTTATGGTTAATTTTTTTTTAAAAATGCCTCCCAACATTTTTCTGAAAACAAAATGTTTATTGAGTCAAGCACATCCACTTTTTTTCTGACATAAACCCTACAATTGTTCAACGTTGTGAATTCCTTTGTGCCATGAAGCCCAGTCTCCCATCCAACTTAAGGTTCCAGTGGTGAGTCATGGTGTGGAGAACCAAAAGGGGACTATGTGTGGAAGCTACTCCTCCATCCCAGGAACACTAGCCCAAGAAAAGGTTGAGCCCAGAAGAAATAAGCCCCTGTGAATATGATTAATTTGTTTTACTTTAGCTATATCCTAAACCATTCCCAAATCCTGATTAAGCAGGGGAAGGAGATGTGGGTGGGTAAACGCAGTAGGCTATACAGGTTGGGAGTAAATGAGCGGGAGGTTGACACCATAAAAGTAATCCTTTAATATTTGCTCTGGGGCATTAAGAATTCTTAAGGAATACATTGCTTTTCCCCAACACTTAATTTGGGTTTAAGTTTATATTAGTCCAGATGCCTATCATCGGAGACCTACAGGCAGACCAAAGTGACCAGGCAGTTTTTCTGTGCCCACATATTGCTGTCTCTGAAGTGTATGGCCACAGGAAGGATTAAATCTAAAACTGGCAAGGGCCTCCCTCCAAGGCTGTGCACTCAGCTTCCAGAAGCCCATCAGCCAAGCCCAGGGTGGTTCACTGTGACCAGTTGCAGAAAGCGGCAGGGAAAGCAAGCACGGTGGTTTCTCCTTTACGTGGTCGAGTCACCAAAGCCCTGAAACCACAGTGGCAAAGCTGGAAACACTGGGCTAGGGTTTCTTGGCCCTGATGGGGATTTCACTGATTGTCAGCAGGGCTTCAGAACCTGGATAGAAAAAAAAATCTAAACAATTCCTTTAATCACTGCTGTTGCCGTTATGCTGGAGGTCCAAAAGGTTGCTCCTCAAATGGCCTTTCCTGGCCTTGG